TATATCTCCAGAGATTCTGTATATTTTCTAGGGAAGTAAGCCCTAGTTTTGTTTAGTACTTGGGTTTGGTCAAACATAATTTTGTGACCAGTTTCCAAATGGTGTTCTGCTAATGCCGATTGTGAGTAATGTTTTAGACGTACTGCCGACTGATGGCAGTTAAAAATGGAAGTTAAAAATTAACTAAATAAAGCACCCCGATAGTGAAAGGCAAGGGGACTCACGTAAATAAAGCACTTCGATAGTGAGAGGCAAGGGGACTCACGTAAATAAAGCACCCCGAAGGGAACAAAAAACTACCACGTCCACGCCGTTGTTTCTGGGTAGTGCTAAGAGTAGTAATTTCTATTAATTTCGGTTAAAAATTTCGTCCGCCATCTTGGTCCGCCATCTTGGATCCGCCATTTTGAATTTTGCAAATCTGACTTCAGATTCGCGATCAGCAACCCCAAAAACTTTCGTAAACTTAAGTTGGTGCAAATTGGTTAACTAAAATTTTTGTCCGCCATCTTCGTTTGCCATCTTGAAAATTTTAAAACAGCCAAAGTTATATCTGAACGTAAAATTTTCCGCGGTTTCATTTTCCGGTGTCAAAAAAGGAAGTTTCCATTTTAAAAAAACCACTTCCGGGTGAAGTAACCCTTTTTTGGTCAAAATCAAAAGTTGAAAGGTACGCCATTTTGGTTCCCTCTCGAAACCCTACAACTTTTATATAAAACTTTTTTTGATTCCTGGCCACACAAACGAGTTATTAGAGGTGATAGATTCAGATAACTCACCCTGTATTTTATAGAAAGACATCATATTTTCATTTTTATTAACAAAAAAATTAAAATATATTTTTTGTATACAATCAAACTGAGAGAAGACATTACTTTTAATGCTTTGCTAAAATAATTTGAACATTATCCAAATAAAGTGTACACATTTCTAGAAATACCANGGTAAAGTACGTATCTAGAAACGGTAAATTTTTTATTTGCGTCTGTACAGCACGTTCGATATTGCTGTAATTACCTTTAATTGTTAATTTCATAATGTCTGCGTTTACATAAGCTTTCGGGAGTAACAATTCTGTTTCTTGTATTAAATACTTGGAACATTCGCTAACGCTGGATGCTAATATATCCAAGTGTTCCATATACGCGTTAACACATTGCGCTATATTTTGCANACCGAGAAATGTTGGTTTTTGCATAACAACAGAAGCAGAAAATATCTTGCGCTTCTTCACTCTGGAACAATCCGAATCTTCTTCTCTCATTGTCTCGCTGTTAGATGTTTCCTCTACTCCGGACTCTTTGTGTGAAATTAATACAGCCTTCGCTCCATATGCCGTAGTAAATGCAATTGTGATATTATTATTTATTACAATCGGCTCTGTCTTGTATTTTCCTCCGTCCAAGTACAGACTTATTAACGGCATGATATCTTGCAATTTTTTCCACGCGTCAGCATCGAGCCATATGATATTTGTTCCATTTCCACATAATTTAATAGCAGGATAAAAAAATCCGTTCTTTACATCAGGGAGCAATCCTACTTGAATTCTCTTCGTATGAGAATTATTTAATCCATACACGGTGGAAAGCAGCATCTCATGCCTCTCATTTTGCTTCTTGATGATTCCCATGCACGATTTTACGCTGGATTCAACTTGCTCTTTTTCAATATTCATCGCCATTTCTTTGCACTTTTCACATTACACACACTTTTAAACCAATATTTACCGCGTAAAAAGATATTTCAAGCGCCAGCCGCAACTGTTTGCAACAGAATAATGATCAAAATGTATTTACATCGCTCTATTTATAGCAATTTTACCCTCTTGTGCGCATGAGCATCAACTTATTTTACCACCACCACCACTTTTGTTTCAACGGTAGATTAACAATTATTTTCAAAAGTTACAAATTATTTCTATATATCATCCGTGTACGACACATAGTTTTTAGTTTACATTTACCTCGTGTCGTAGCTACCCACACATGAGTGCATATGTGTATGAAAAACAATAAACAATTCTTTAAAGAGGCATTTTTATAAACATTTTATTCTACATTGAATACCCATCGAAAACTCTTGTAGAATTTTCTCGCGCGAACAAGTTTAACGGCCCTGAGTCATAAACCGTTTTTTGTCTTCAAAAAAAATTATGTTCTCATCGGCACGCTCTTGATACCCCCCACGAACATACAGATTTAACGGTCCCGAGTCATAAACCGTTTTTTGTCTTCAAAAAACTTATGTTCTCATCGGCACGCACGTGTCAACCCGCACGTACAAGTTCGCGAATATGAAAATCGTTCAGAAAAAATTCGGACACGTAAATTCATTTTTTATATTACATCTCTGACTTTCTAGTCACAGCCTTGCGACGCCTGCTTCGATTTCGATTTTGCCTAGACGCCCTCAACTATGCTTCACGCTCATTGGGAGCCATAAGTGCCCAGACGCTCATTGGTCCTTCCTTGGGGGCCCTATCATCCCTATCAACTACCCCTGAACCTCGCTCATTGGGAGCCATAAGTGCCCAGGCGCTGATTGATTCTTCTCGGGACCGATGCCACCCCCGCCCTTACACTTCCTCACTCAACCGACGTCAACTTGCTCTCACACGTTTGAACGCACGAGGCAACAACATCGGAGCGCCGCCATTGCCAGTACCAGCCACGCTTCGAAACGGAGTTTTAAATAAATATATACTCTTTTAATAAAAAAATCTTACTCGAGAACATTCTTGAACTTTCCTCCCACACAAATTCCTCAACAAAAAAAATTTTAAATACACATTTTTAGAAAATTATAAAAATTTATGAAAAATGTATAAAAAATTTATGGGGTCATAAATCATGTCACTTTTTTATCCCCTCTAGTGGGCGTGGCCAATCACCATCAAGGGAGGGAGAAAACCACCCTGGTTGGGCAATGACGCCAGAAGTGGTGGGGGGCCAGGTGGAGGGGGTTTGTTTTGACGCGCCATAAGTGCCCACATACTACTCATACAGTTCGCACGCTTAAACTCACGGAAAATGTCTGATATGAAATCCAGTAATGTATAGACAGCATCATTAATTCGAAGAATAGGCGCGGGGATCGGAGGGCAAGCGGGGCGGTTGCTCGTAGCGCCAACGGGCGCCGTANTAACTAACTAGTAGCAATCGGGTGTCCACAACTACGTGGACACCCGGCGCCCGTTGGCGCTACGAGCATCCGCCCCGCTGCCCTCCGATCCCCGCGCCTATTCTTCGAATTAA